CTTATAGAGCTGTCAAAAGTATTCATGTAAAAAAAAAAAAAAGATTTATCATATACGATCTGATTACATTTATTTAAAGAAAAACATGAATAACAAATGATTTTGATATTAGAGCATCTGTTTTGATAATGTAAATTACAATTGTTCGATTAATTCACTTTTTTTGTACGAATAATCTGCTTAAAAAGCCTTGCAAATTTTCTTCTTCGTCCTTGAAGAATTTATGGATGATAATGTTGATTGATCAACAACATTTACTATGCTTGATTATCATTTTTCAAAAATACTTTTTAGAAAATTCACTTTTTATTTTTCGTTTTTACTGAATTTTTTTAATATTTTGAACAACTTTTAAAATTTTTAAACATACCTAACATACATATACCTAAAAAGTAAAAAAAAATTGAAAAAAATCTTTTAAAAATTTACTAAATACCAAAAATATAAAAATAATACGAGAATTCAGTACATTTTTTATATTTTTATGTATTTATTAATTTTTAAAAATATTTTTTCACATTTTTTTTTACTTTTTAGATACATCTAAATAAGGTGCATCTAAAAAAGTAAAAAAAAAATTTAAAATTTTAAAAATATTCACTAAAAACAAAAAAACACGAAAATCAGAAAATTTAATTTTCAAAAAACTTAATTCAAAAAACTCAAACCAAACACACTGATTAATATTTGGATCTCAAATTTGTTGAGGCCTTGAGAAGGGATTGGAAAAGGAATGAGAAATGAAATTATATTCCCTTAACTTTTATGAGTAACTAAACAAAAGAAGATTTTTTTTTTTTTTTTTAAAAATGCCTAATATTTTCTTCTAATTTTTCCATCCATATTAAACAAGCAAAAGAAACAATTTTTTAGATTTATCACTTTATTTCACTTTTCTTTCTTTACCCTTTTACTTGTGTTTTTCCCTAAACAAATTCAAGAATCAAACAAAGTGTTAAGTTGAAAATAGTATCTTAGACCTAATGAGCCAAAGTCACAAAACTCATGTTTATTTGGAAAAGAAAATGACAAAAAAGTCAAACTACTCACAAAATTCTTAACCTATGACCTCAATCACATTTATAAAGAACCATCATGTGAAGAGTAAACAAACACATGATTAATTAGAAAGAGAAAAAGAAAGCGAAAGGATTATATTTAAATCTATCTATTCTATTATTTAAAGTAAATACTTGAATTGGTATAGATGCTCACGTTTCTCCATATTAAAAAATAACCCTAACGAGTTGATAACTATCAATAAGAGAAAACTATTACAAGAAAATTGATTTATATATTCAAAATTTCACAAATAATTTTTATTCATCTTTTCCATTTCTAAATTACTTGGTGTGCACAGACTACTGCTGATGAACTGATAGAAGGGTCAATATCTCAAAGTTGTAACCAAAATTTTTTTAATATAATAGTATTAGTTATAAATGTTCACCTTAATCAACTGTGCTTACAAAAGCAACAATTGACCTTTGTGCCAAACAACCGTGCATTGTATTATGCACGGCGAATCGCGGATATTTTGATCTACCTAAATAGATCGAATCAAATTGATCTGTCATATTTTGGACAGATATGTAATGATGAACGAACGGTTATGGATTGATTTTTTTCAATCTACCTAATTTTGCACGGATGACGGATTTGAGATTTCTTTGACCTAACAGAATTGCCTAACCGCGAGCACCTTAATAATTTGTAAGATTTTGTATTTTCAATTTGTTTAGATATTCTGTTTGTGTTTTTAATTGAAAAAGAGTTTAGATATTTTGTTGTGTTTTCAATTTGAAAATCTTTTTATCAAATGCCAAGGGTTGATATTTAGTATTTTAACGTAGAAAATATAAGGCTTAATATAAAAAAATAAAATTAAATAATTTTTGGATTAAAAAAAGTAATGAATAATTTTGATAATCTATGATTTTTTTGTATGTATTTATTATTGGTATTTGACAATTTACTTGATAATCTTTTAATTATGTTGAGTTGAATTATTATCTAAAAAAAAATGTTGACAAATTATTGTATTGTGTTCAAAATTAGTAAAAAATTAAACCTCCAAACCAATGAGCATCTATCTGCCAATCCACGTTTGTCAATTTGGCGGCCAATCCGCATCCGTCAATTCGGCAGATAGATACAGATTGATTTTTTCAATCCGTCCATCTAACGGACAGATGACAAATTAGAAGTTCACTGACCACATCCGACAACCGAACTGCGAAGAACCCTAGTATTATGAATCAACATGAACCAATTTTATTTGGCTAAAACTACAAATTCAATTTTTTTTAAAAAAAAATTTCCTAACTTTTTCTGTCCGTTTTGATTAGATGATTCCGAAATTTAAATTAAAAAAAAGAGTTAATTTTAAAAGAAATTCACTAAGACAAAAAGAAGTCATATTTTATGAATAAAAAAAAAAACTAGAAAATTTTTATTTATTTATTTTTTCCTGGAGTTTTCAAAAACAAATTTTTTAGGTTTTTGAGATTGTCTTAGACGAAACTAAAAAGTAAAGAAATACACCGTTTAAAAAAAAGTTCATTAAAAAAAAAAAAAATGCTTGAGACCCCATTTTTTAAAGATTTCCACAACTTCTTTTGAATCTCTACCATTGATACATGTATGGGAGCCACTCATATATGTGTGAGATCTACACCATCAATGGTAGAGATCCAAAAAAAATTGTGAGAGTCTCTAAAAAATGAGAGTCTCAATCATTGTTGAAAAAAAAAAGCCAAAAAGATGCAAGAAGAATGGAAAAAAAAAAAAATTTCTAACTTTTTCCTATACACAAAGATCCGCCAGATCCGTACTGACATGCACGCGGATTTATATGGATAAAACCATAATTTTACTAATTTATATAATATTTTAATACATATTTTTCTGTAAAAAATTAAAAAATTATTTCAAATCACCATTTTTTTTTCTACATTTTTAACTAAAAGTCAAAAAGTATATTTATATAATTCATCCCAAACAACTCCTATATAGTTCCTATAAAGAAAAATAAAAATAAAAGTCCACACCCATCTCAATGGCTACAGCAGATATTGGCAACATTTTACAGAGAAATATATATTATCAAAAAGAGTGAATGGTAGGTAATCAAATTGCAGAAATATGAAGAAAAGAAAAGCCTTCCCTTCTCTATGAACCATGCACTAACACAAAAATAAACAAAACAAAAGTACAAAATTTCTGGGAATTTATTTTATACACGTTTTGAGAAGCAAATTTCTCCTCAATGATAAAGCGACTACTAATATTTTTAAAAGTAAAAAACACTTACAAGATATCTGTTTGTTGCTCATGTTAGATCCTTCCCAAGTACTGGTTAAAGTAGAAAACACTTGCAAGATATCTGATAGAAGGGTCAATATCTCAAAATTGTAACCAATTTTTTTTTAATATAATAGTATTGGTTATAAATGTTCACCTTAATCAACTGTGCTTACAAAAGCAACATTTGACCTTTGTGCCAAACCACCGTGCATTGTATTATGCACGGGTGAATCGCGGATATTTTGATATGTTTAAATCTATCGAATCAAATTGATTTGTCACATTTTAAATGAATACGTAATGACGAACAGGTAATTACAGATTAATTTTTTTTCAATCTGCCTAATTTTGAACGGATAACAGATTTAAGATTCCTTTGGCCCAATAGAACTGTCACACCGCGAGTACCTTAGTAATTTATAAAATTTTATATTTTCAATTTGTTTAGATATTTCTCTTTGTATTTTCAATTTGAAAATCTTTTTATCAAATGACAATGGTTGATATTTGGTATTTTTTATGTAGAAAATATAAGGTTTAATTTTTTCATTTAAAAAAAAAAATCAAATTAAATAATTTTTTAATTAAAAAAAGTAATGAAATAATTTTGATAATTCATGATTTTCTTATATGTATTTATTATTGGTATTTGACAATTTACTTGATAATCTTTTGGATATGTTGAGTTAGATTATTATTCAAAAAAAAAAAATAATTACAAATTATTGTATTGTGTTCAAAATTAGTAAAAAATTAAACTGCCAAACTAATGCGCATTTATCCGCCAATCCACATCCGTCAATTCGCCGGACGGATGTAGATTGATTTTTTTCAATCCGTCTATCTGGCGAATAGATGACAAATTAGAAGTTCACTGACTGCAACCGAACTGCAAAGACCCCTAGTATTATGAATCAACATGAACCAATTTTATTTGGCTAAAACTACAAATTCAATTTTTTTTTCCTAACTTTTTCTGTCCGTTATGATTAGATGATTCCGAAATTTAAATTAAAAAAAAAGAGAGTTAATTTTAAAAGAAATTCACTAAGACAAAAAGAAGTCAAATTTTATAAATAAAATTTTTTATTTTCATTTTTTTTCCTGGACTTTTCAAAAACAGTTTTTTTAGGTTTTTGAGATTGAAACTAAAAAGTAAAGAAATACATAGTTTAAAAGAAGTTCATTAAAAAAAAAAAAAAGCCGAAAAAAAAAAAAAAAAAAAAAAAAAAAAAAAAGAGAAAGAAATGTTAATAGGAATCACGAAGTAAACATTAAAAAAAAATTCCAACCTTTTCCAGTACACACAGATCTGCCAGATCCGTATTGGCATGCACGCGGATTTACATGGGTAAAATCATAATTTTGCTAATTTATACCATATTTTAATACATATTTTCAGTAAAAAATCAAAAAATTATTCCAAACAATCATATTTTTTCTCTATTTTTTTAACCTAAAAGTAAAAAAATACACTTATATAGTCATCTATATAGTTCCTATAAAGAAAAAGAAAAATAAAAATAAGAGTCCACCCCCAACTCAATGGCTACAGCAGATATTGTTTACAGAGAAATATATATTATCAAAAAGAGTGAATATGGTAGGTAATCAAAGTGCAGAAATATTAAGGAAAAAAAAGCCTTCCCTTCTCTGTGAACTATGTACTAACACAAAAATAAACAAAAGAAAAGTACAAAATTTCTGGGAATTTATTTTATACATGTTTTGAGAAGCAAATTTCTCCTCAATGATAAAGAAACTACTAATATTTTTAAAAGTAAAAAATATCTGTTATTGTTGCTCATGTTAGACCCTTCCCAAGTACTATTATTTATTTTGCTAGGTATTTACATCATATGCAAATTCAAGATACAAATTCTCATATGTAGAAGCAACAAAATTTCTAATAAAAAAAGAAATGAACAATACGATTTTTCAGGCATATAAGATTTGCATACTCACACATTGGGAGGAGGGAAGATGTCAAGATCAATGTTGTCGAGCCAAGAAACCAGCTGCTCAGTAGAAGGCCGCGCTTTAGGGCATTCGCATAAGCAAAGGCAAGCGATCTCAAGAACACACAACATCTCCTTACCATGATCCTTGTCGTAGATGAAGGCATCAAACACCTCACTTTCCCTTTTCTCCCTCTTCATTTGAAATACCCACGAGATCAAATTCCGGCTTCCTTTAGGCTTGCAAATATCCATTGGCCTCTTTCCGGTGAGAAGCTCCAAAAGGACAACTCCAAAACTATACACGTCGCCTTTGTAAGTTGCAACCGAAGCTTGGCCATACTCGGGGGGAATGTAGCCTAACGTCCCAACAAGATCGGTAGTGACATGTGTGTCATATGGAAGTATGAGCCTCGCAAGACCGAAATCGGCCAAGTGAGCTTCGAAATTCTCATCTAGAAGAATGTTACTAGACTTTATGTCTCGGTGAAGGATATGGGGCTCGCACGATTGGTGCAAGTAAGCGAGCCCTCTGGCCGCCCCTTGAGCGATCTGAAGCCTTGTGTCCCAATCAAGTGAGGAAGGCCCATCAAGTTTCTCATGTAACCAATAATCCAAACTACCATTCGCCATGTAAGAGTATATCAAAAGCCGGTCGTTTTTATAGTTACAATATCCTTGCAGAAGGACGAGATTCGGATGTTGAGCTCTAGAGAGGGTTTCAACTTCGGCTCGAAATTCTCTCTCCATCTGACCGTACTCACCAGAGAGCCGTTTGATAGCAACTTTCCTACCATCAGGAAGCATGGCTTTATAGACCAAACCGAAGCCCCCACACCCAATTATGTTCGCTTGATCAAAGTCGTTAGTAGATGTCATCAAGTCATCAAGGGAGAGCTCTTTACTGTTGTCCTTGTTTTGGAAAAGAACCACTAATCTCGATCCAAGTTCTTCCAAATCCTTCTTGTTATCATCGACATCCTCTTTTTCAGGATCAACCTCTTGTCGCCTACATACCCGCAAAACAATCGAGTACATAAGAGCAAGAAGAAAAATTGTCCCAAATCCAATCCCAACAGCCATTCCAACAATAACCCCTCTCCTGTTTGACTTACTAGGAGAGACTCGAGGAACTTGATTGCTAATCGGACATGGGGAAGAATGTTCACCACATAGACCTAGGTTCCCTTCAAAGCTTGAGTTTGGAAAAGTTGGAAACTGCCCTCCAGTAGGGATTGCCCCATACAGTTGATTGTAAGCAACATTGAACTTCGACAGAAAAGTGAGATTTACCAATGAAAGAGGTATAGTTCCAGAGAGATTGTTATGGGACAAATCCAAAGACTCTATGCTCGTCATTCCTGACAAATTCACAGGAATACTTCCAGATAAATCGTTGCATTTCAGGTCCAAACAATGCAACTTTTTCAGGTTCCCAAACTCGGGCCAGATGGGTCCGGTGAGAAAGTTATTGCTGAGGGCCAGTGTTGGTGGAAAGCTCCGAATTTGATTATACTGCAACCCTCTTCCGCTAATGTTTCGTTTCACGAAAAATGGGAATGGGTAATCCAGAGAAGGGTCTTCCAGTGAGACATCCCCGGAGATGAGGCACCCTAATCCAGCCAGGTTCTTCGGTATCTCTCCGGTAAAAGAGTTGTTCGACAAGTCAATGTAAAACAAAAACTTAAAATTACCCAACCATGGCGGAATTGTTCCATCCAATTGATTCCATGATAAATCCAACAACTGCAAATTTGTTAATCCACTCAACCACTGGGGAAACACACCAGTGAGTCTGCAATTGGCAATAATGAGAGCCTTCAGACTTTTAAACCCTAGACTAGGATAGGAAGGCAATTGTTCATCATGAAAGTTCAAGGTAAGAACCAAAGTAGTCAAGTTCTGGCAATGCTGCAAGATATCAAGGGCAGCTGAGAGGTTAGAAATGCTTGAATTCGATACGGAAAATGAGGACAGGCCATGAAAATTCCTAAAGCTTTCTGGGATTTGGCCAGTGAAGTTGTTTCGCGCAAGATTAATTGTTTTCAGGTGCGGACAGAGTGGGAGATAATTGGGAACTGGCCCGGTGAACTGATTAGTGGCTAAATCGAGCGATATCAGACTGGTCATTTCCGAACAATTCAAACGAATTACACCATTCAGAGAATTGTTTCTCAAAACAAGTGAAGTGATGGACCTAGAATTCGCCAGAGAATAGGGAATTCCACCGGAAAAATTATTGGATTGAGCATAAAATTCTTGTAACTTTGTAAATCTATGAAAAACATCAGGAATAGGCCCTGAAAAGGAATTCAATGATATATCCAAACGAACAAGATCAGAGAGATTACCAATTCCAGTGCTGAGCTGACCCGAAAACTTATTATCCTGAAGACCCAACTGATTCAATCTCGGTAACAAGAAAATATCCTCCGGTATATGTCCGGTGAGAAAATTTTCACCGAGACAGAGGTGTTCTAAGGAGCTGCAATTCCCAAACCCAGATGGAATTCCACCAAAGAAGTAATTCACAGCAAAATCAATGATCCGAATTCGAGTCGAATTTATACAAATCTTCACAGGAACCGAGCTTTTGAATGAATTATAAGAAATGTCGAAGATCTCGAGAAAAGGGAGGTTGAAATTCATCGGAATTGAACCAGAGAAATCGTTTTTGCTGAGGTCGATGACTTGTAGATGCGGCATTTGAAACAGAGATGGAGGAAGAGAGCCTCGGAGGAAATTGTTTGAGAGGTTTAGGGTTCTGAGTTGGTCTAAACCAGTGAAAGTAGTTTCGTTGAGTTTGCCCGTCAATCTCTTCCGTGAGAGATCCAATTTCACAACCCTACCAGAATCGATAGAATCGTTGAGAAAACCAAGAGAAGAAGATGAATTGCAGGTGATTCCTAACCAATTACAGCAATTAGGGTTTGTAGAAGTTGAATTTGAGCTTCCCCAATCATTAAAAGTCCCTGAATCTAACCCAATCAAGAAACTCTTTAGTGCCTTGAGATCGTTCGAATTGCAAGTCAGGTTTTGGGAATTCGAAACCTGAACTTGTGAAGAGAACACAAGAAGGAAAATGAAGATAACCCACAATTCCAACACAACACCCATCTGAAAAACAAGTCCTAGAGAAAGAAAGAGGAGACAGATAGATTAATAAGGGGTAAAATCAGGTTCTGGAAGAACTCATTTGGTAGAAGATGAATTGTTATATGGGTTTGGTTAGTTTCAGCATTTTTTTTGGTTCTTGAGGATGAAAGAAAAGATAAAGAAAGATGGGTTTTTTTGGGTTTGTAGAAACAATCAGAGAGGAAAGAGAAAAGCAAGAAGGAAGGTAAAGGAAAAGACAGAGAGAGCACTCTGAAAGAGAAATAGATGAGAGAGAGAGAGAGAGAGAGAGAGAGATTGTGGTTTTGACTTTTAAAAAAGGCAATGTTGGACCAAAGAACGTTGCTTAACTTTCCTTTCTTTGAATTGTTGCAATTACAGAGTAAATAGTTGAACAGTTGAGAGAGAGAGAGAGAGCGAGCAAGTAGGCAGTCGGGAGTTGAAAAGAGAAAGAGAGAGATTGTGTGATTCATGTGATTGTGAAGCGTCTCCCCTTCACTGTCTCAGGGTCCGTTGGGAAAGAATTAAAGTGGGTTTTTTTTTTTTTAATTATTTTAATTACAAAAAATAAAATATCATATTTAATTTATAATTATTATATTTTTTTTTATAAAAAAAAATTTTAAAAGTCAAAAAGTTCTTCCCAAACTAAGTTTTTTAGTCCAGGCTAAAATAATTAAAAAAGTCAAAAAGTCAACCCACTTTCCAAACGGAGGCTCAGTGTTTAAGAGAGGAATGGGTTAAACCGGGACTAGCTAATGGCCCGTTAAGTAGAGTGACGAGAAAGTAACTTAACAGATTATAAGATATAGTTGTGAATATAAATTGATAATTTGTTTAGTGTAGTTATAAAATTATAAATTTAAGTTGCAGAATAGTGTTTAGTAAATAAGCTGTAAAATAATTTTTACTGTATAATTGTTATTTTTGCCCTTATAGATATAAAATTTGTGATTTCATTTATAATACATTTTTTTTCCTTTTTCCTTTTATTTTATTTTGTTTTTCACCTTATTTTCTTTTCTTTTTAAATTTTTTTTCTTCTCTTCTTTCTTTGTTAATTTTTTTAATTTATTAATTCATTAAAATTAATATTCATGTTGTAATATATATTAATGTTGTAATTTCATTACATATTATTTTCATATATTCATCAATTTTTCATCAATTTATATTAATGTATTATTTTTTCCAATTTATTATTATTATTATTCATTTTAATTATTTTTAGTAATATCTCATTTTTTCTTTATATTAATGTATCATTATTATTCTTTATATTAATATATCATTATTAATTTATATTAATGTATCATTATTATTCTTTATATTAATGTATCAATTTACATATATTCATCAATTTATATTAACGTATCAATTTTTCCATCAATTAATATAAATTACATATATTCATCAATATTAATTTTTTTCATCAATTATTACATAAATTACATATATTAATATTATCAATTATTATTAATTTTCCATCAATTACATATATTCATCAATATTCTTATTAATAGTATCAATTAATATAAAATTTTTTCATTTTTTCATTTTAAATTAATTAGTCTCAATTAATTAGCATCAATTATTATTTTTTATTCATTAATTATTTTGTTTTTTTATATTAAAAAAACACTGAAAAACCTCAATAATAATAATAATAATAATGATAACCCTAACTCCGGCGGGATGAACTGGCGTTAGGGTTTCATTCAAATCCACAGAAGGAGCGAGAGAGAGCTAGGGTTCAGATCGCGATGGTTCATCCCGCCGGCAGCTCCTTCTTCTCCTCATCCTCCTCCTCCTCATCTCACTACCGGCATCGATCGCGATGGTGCAGATCGCGATGGTTCAAATGGGAAACAGACTGGTTCACGCCGGGGAGAGGGAGACAGACGGGATCGCGATGGCAGATCGCGATCACGAAGAGGGAGACAGACGGGTTCGCGAAGGGGGAGAGACAGAGAAGGAGAGACAGAGAGGGTGAGAAAGAGAGAGAGAGAGCTCGATTGCCGAAAATCGACATGCTCGCCGGAAATCGCCCTAGCTCGCCGGAAATCGCCTATCTCGTTTGTGTGAGAGAGGAAGAATGAGTGAGAAATGGTTTACATACATGGCACACTTGTAATTAGCATCAATTCAGAAGGGCATTTAAGTCATTTTAATCCTCCCATTTCAGCTTCCTGTATAAGCTGAATCAAGAAGCACCCCTAAGGTGCTTAGAAATTTAAGCTAAAAATAGCTTAATAAAAGCTATAATTTATCCCTTTAAGTTTTACCAAACACACCAAAATAACTTAATTTAAGCTAAAAGCAGCTTTAAGCTGCTTTTAAGTGCTACCAAACAGCCCCAATGTCAGTCAAGAATGGGTTAACGGGTGGGATCGTGGATGGAGATGGTACGCGGGTTCTGTTTGTACGGTGTTGTTTTGAATTTATATAAGAATTAACTTAATATTAATATAATTTTTTTTTATTTCATGTTATTATATTGTGTTGTTTTTAATTAGTGTCTGGTTCATATTGTGCTAACACGGTATGTCAAAAAAATTTACTACTAACTATATGGTTTGGATCTAACTTTTGAGAGAATAATTTGGATTTGATGAGTCTGTTTTGAAGTCGATTTTGATAATTTAGTGAATTTAATATTCGTAAACAGAATATTCATGTAAAAAATTAAAATAATTAAACATCGATAGTTATATATTTGGATTACATTTGTATTACAAAAAAAATACATGACTTAAAATTATATTTATCGTCTATTTTTTAAAGATAAAAATGATTTAATCACATAGCTACTAATACCTAATTATTTTGATGTTTTGCATAAATATTCTATTCGAATATGAAAAATTGAATGATTTAAATTATCGAGTTTGACCACAAAACGGGCCATAGAAACCAACTACTCTTGTAAGTTAGATGACCAATTTGAGAGAATTCAACCATCAACTCTTAATTGAAAGGAAAATGATTTGGAGCCCTAAAAAAGTCCCCCCTAATCCCCAAAACGACGTCGTTTTGGGGAGTTTTTTCTTTTTGCCTTGGTTTGAAAATTCGGGGGATTAGGGGGGGATTTTCGGGGGACATAGCATCACCCTAATTGAAAATATCACATGTATGAAAAAAAAATTTGACAATTTGAATACAATGAAATCAATTTCTAATAAATGAAATTATTAATAAAATTATTTAATTTCAATTCAATTTTATTTTTTTAATTTACCAAAACTATATTATATTATTATTATTTATTAGATTAACATTTAAGTCCCACGACACCCCCCCAAATAAAAATAATACTAAAATATATAACTAATTTTTTATTAAATAGTTTATCCGTGCCAATTTTATATTATGCAAGTTTGACACTAATTTGACTTGTTTAATATTCGTGTTATCAGATCATGTCATATACGTATTCGTATTAGAATATGGTCAATCTTTATCCGCTAATTTTATATACAATTCAAGTCATATTATCATATTGTGTCAAAAATTTTAATTCTTAGTAGTGATTTTGTCTCATTCTATCCCTTCACATCTACTCCGGATTATATTTATTAAATATATTTATATATATATATGTAATATATAAAATAATTTTAAAAAATATTATAAACCTAAAATATTAAAATATTACATTTAACATTTATTTTAACTTTTTTATTTCTTATTTTACATTATTTAAATCACATTACTTATAAAATAGAGAAAATTGGGAAAAAATTGTCTAAAGCATTAGGTCCAATGAATTTTTTGTTGTTGTTGTTGTTGTTGGTGAGAGATTCATACTTTATGAAATAGTTATGTGAAAAGTCTCGGAGGACATTTTGTTTTTAATTTTACCCATTGACTTTTTTTTATCTGTTTGACTTTTTGTTTACTATCTGTTCAAATTTATATCTATCTGGTCAAATTATTTTCTATCTGTTCAAAATTTTTTGTCTATCTGTTTAATTTAATTTATTTTTGTGTGTAAATTCTCTATTTGTTCAAATGTTTCTATGTAAATTTTCTATTTGTCCAAATTTTATCTGTTCAAATTTCTATCTGTCCAAATTTTATTTGTACAAATTTTCTATCTCCTTCACCTCATCATTTGATCAATAGAAGAACAAATTTTATATGTTTTTTTTCCCTTATTTGTACAAATATCTATTCAATTTTTATAATCTGTTCAATTTTAATATTGTATCTGTTGAAATATCTGTCCAACTTTTATTATTTGTTCACTTTTATCAAATTTTATCTGTTGAATTCAAATTTGTTTATATGTTTAAACTCTATCTACTTATGATTTTTTTAATCTATTGAATTCAAAAGATATATATGTTAATTTTTTGAACAGATCATGGTTTTATCTGTTAAAAAGCTATATAGAAATATCAGAGTCTTTTGAATAGATCAGAGCGAAATGAGGTCCCTTATCTATTTAAAACTAATTGTAGAAATCGTCTATCTGTTGCAATTTGTTCCATCAACAACAACAATAATCAACTAAAAAAAAAATAGATACCTGTTCACGAGATCTACAACAACAACAACAACAACAACAACAACAACAACAACAACAACAACAACAACAACAATAATAATAATAATAATAATAATAATAATAATAATAATAATAATAATAAGAGATCTGGAGAGAGAGAGAGAGAGAGAGAGAGAGAGAGAAACCTTCAAACAAACCTGATGGAGACCACCCCCAAGCTTGATGGTTTGATTGGCCATACTTGAGAGGTCAATAACCAAATCCCTTGGAACCTAGACACATTCAAACACATATATCTATATGTGCATATAAATATATATAAATTGTATATTATACATACATACAAGGTGTATACAAATATAAAGGAGTCAATGTAACTACACAAAACGGATTGATCGACAAACAAACAAACAAACATGTATATCTATATCAATGATGCTGATGAAAAGTTGCTCAATCGGACGGTTCAAATAGAAGTTAAATCTTGTCGCGAACTTAGATCTTGCCGCCATAAATGAACGAAACTCAGGTCTCGCCGTTGTAAGGCCGAAAATGGAACCGAAGGTGTGAGAAAGGTCCAGATCCACCACAAATCTAGAGAGAGAAGAGAAGAGTTGAACTATCGACTATGAAGCATGGGTACTTTGAAAAACATGTTGTACCCGTACTAGGTACTTACCGGCATATGGTACCTCGTATGGTACTTCTGCATACATACCGAGTATACAAAACACGTACTAAAATTTTTTCTTCTTAATTTTTGGCGTA